TTACCCAAAAACACTCTAAGAAATATTAGATAAAAGTTACTAAAATGCGGCCATAGTAGGATACCTTTCCTTTCTCAAAATGTAAAAGGTCAAGTAAACCAAAGATGAATAAGACCTTAAAGGATTTAAATACCATACTTAAAAGTTTGTATAGGTATAAACCTTTTACACTGACAGAAAATAAACAACCATTTCAAATAGCTATATAGCATTTACAAAAACTGATCATATTTCATGTTACCAGGAAAATTTCCATTTCATAAATCTTCCTAGGCCACATTCTGACCAAGCTGCAAGCACACTAGAAATTTTAAATTAAAATATAACAACAAAATGCCACTTAGATATTTCAGCACAGTCTTCTAAATAAGTTATGCCAATGACAACACAAAAATTAAAGACTCCTTAGAGGCCCATACAGAGGAAAACACAATCAAGGCTGTGGATGAACCTCTCCTCACAGGAAGTACTTGCATCGTACCTCCCGGGCTTAAGTGATCCTCCTACCTCAGCCTCCCAAGTAGCTGTGACTCTAGGCAAGATATATGAGGCAATTAAATTTTTATGAATAATGTATGAGGAAGTCTTTAAAAATTGATAAATGAAGATAGAAAAGAGGCAAAAGATAAAAACCAACATTTTGTAGAAGAAAAAAAGATGTGAACAGTATACGCATAAAAAAATGTTCATCCTCACTAATAAAAAGGAAATGCCAATTAGAACATCAGCACCCTTCATTGGCACAGAATGAAAAGACTGCTCTTGGCTGAGTGAGGTGGCTCACTCTTGTAATCCCAGCACTTTGGGAGGCCAAGGCTGGAGGATCACTTGAGGTCAGGAGTTCGAGACCAGCTGGGCGTGGTGACCGGCATTTGTAATCCCAGCTACTCCGGAGGCTGAAGCAGGAGAATTGCTTGAACCTAGGAGGCATAGGCTGCAGTGAGCTGAGGTCACTCCACTGCACTCCAGCCTGGGTGACAGAGTGAGACTCCATCTCAAAAAAAATAAATAAATAAAGATTGCTCTCACCTGGGGTGAGAGCTGTGAAGGAACTGGCATGACCATACCAGGTGGAACTATAAATTGGTACACTTTTAGAGAGAGTTTAATGGTATCTATAGAAATAGATATTTAAATGTTTATGCCAATTGAGCCAGCAGTTCCCTTTTAGGAATTTATCCTATAGAAATATTTGCACAAGGGCAAAAAGATATATTTGTAAGGTATTCCTTTCAGCGATGTTTATAGCAGGAAAAGAAGTAACCTAAATATTCATCAAAGGATTAGTTAAATAAATGTTAATACCTCCACATACTATGCAGCAGTTAAAAATAATGGAGTAAATCGGTATAAACCGATATGCAAAGGCTTCGTGATATATTGTTAACTGAAACAAGTAAGTCAGAACAGAACATCTGGAATGATTCCACTGTAAGCTATAATAAATTATTATTCTCTATAAGTCTAATTTTTTTTAAGTCTAGAAAGGTCCATATTATAAATGACTGCCTGTAGGGCCTCTGCTGCTTATGGGGGCCTGGCAAAAAGTGTAAATGCATGAACTGGCAGGACGTGCAGTCAGAGTAGGAGGGACTGGGAGGAAACGGACAGTCACATGCTGTCTCAGTTGTAGCCAATGGTTGCGATTCCTGACCTTGCCAGGTTCCCTGGCCAGTGTTCATGGATCAGCACTCAGGAGCAGTAGCTCTTTGTTTCAGCCTCAGGACAGCCTTTTCTGGCCCCCTAGCAAGGGCAGTAGCAGTGACCACTATCAACATCACTTTGGGTCCTCTTCAGCAAGTGCTGGGTGAGCCTGGAACTTCTAGTTGAGGGCAGCTTCACTGCCCCTCTCCCCTTGACATGGTGGAATGGGCTTCGTCACGTCACTCTGAAACTGACAGCAGTTGACATTAAGTTTAAGACTATTTTTGCTGGGCACAGTGGTTTATGCCTGTAATCCCAGCATTTTCGGAGGTCGAGGCGGGCTGATCACCTGAGGTTAGGAGTTCAAGACCAGCCTGAACAACATGAAGAAACCCCGTCTCGGGCCGGGCGAGGTGGCTCACGCCTATAATCCCAGCACTTTGGGAGGCCGAGGGGGGTGGATCACAAGGTCAAGAGATCGAGACCATCCTGGTCAACATGGTGAAACCCCGTCTCTACTAAAAATACAAAATTAGCTGGATGTGGTGGCGCATGCCTATAATCCCAGCTACTCGGGAGGCTGAGGCAGGAAAGTCTCTTGAATCCAGGAAGCGGAGGTTGCCATGAGCCGAGATCGCACCATTGCACTCCAGCCTGGGCAACAAGAGCAAAACTCCATCTCAAAAAAAACAAAAGTTCTAACACCATAGAACTTATGGACTGTGTTTCATTTTGGCTTTGCTGGTTCCTTAGTGCTCCAGGAGGTTCACTCTCCAACACAGAACCTCCAGAATCTTCAGGAGGCCTCACAGGCCAAGTTACCCATAGCCCCAATGTGAGCCCTGTGTAGAGTTACTCTTTTTAGTTCTCCTGACCTTTGGCAGGGAGAGGAGGCCAAAACAGCCTGAGCTGTACTTCAGAACAGCTGGAAATAAACAGCTAATGGGGGAGAAAACTTGAGGGTTGATATCCTCCGGTTGTCAAGTTCTATCCTGCTTAGCAAAGTCTCTCTGCTGCTTCACTCTTCATTTCTAAAAGTGCCCTTCAACTCGATTTTCCCCCTGGCCGTGAGTGTAAATATTGGCCTGGTCGGCCGGGCATAGTGGCTCATGCCTGTAAACCCAGCACCTTGGGAGGCTGAGGTGGGCAGATCACCTGAGGTCGGGAGTTTAAGACCAGCCTGACCAACATGGAGAAACCCTGTCTCTTAAAAAAGAAAAAAGAAAAAAAAAAAATTGGCCTGGTCATTGAGGCCATGGTCTAAAGAATGATTTGGTCTCTTGTATAGGATTGCCAGATTTAGCAAATAAAAATATAGGACACCCAGTTAAATGAATTTCAACAAATAATTTTTTTTTTTAGTATAAGTATGCCCCATGCAATATTTGGGAATACTTACACTAAAAGGTTATTTTTTGTTCACCTGAAATTCAGACCTACTCAGTCTCGTATTTAATCCAGCAAGCCCTGCTCCATGGGCCGCGAGGGCGCTCCATTTCTAAGGGATGCACCTGAAAGTGTGAGGATAAAGAGCAGCAGAAGGTCTCAGTAATATCCCCTAATAAGCACTGTCCAGGGTGTGACAAGTCACCTCAGCCCCAGAGCCTCCTGAACCTCCAACTCCTCTCTTCTGTGCCTCCCTCCTGCTCACGCTGGCTTCTCTGCTTCTGAGCTGGGGCCTCGCTTCCTGCTGCTGGATTTTCTCTCTTCCGTCTGTGGCTTTCCCCCACCCTCACCTCTCCTCTTTTTTCCTCATTTTGCTCTCACTGATCCATAACATGTAATTAAAGTTTACATATTTGAGTGTTGGTTTTAATTACTAGATAAGGTTTTGTGTTCCTTGCTATAATTTAAATAGCAGGGGAATTTAACTTTTTGTGTATGTTTTATTTTGCTTTTATTGATAGGTGGCCATAAGTTCACTTTTAGCCATGTGAATCACTGACCTTCACCTTAAGCCAAGAGAAAGGCCTTCCATATCTGGAATGAACTCATACACATCTTCCTAGAACAGGTGCCAGTGGAGGAGGTGGGGAGGGGGATAGATCGTTGGCAGAGTGAAGGGAGACGTCACTAGGTTGACCTATTCAGGAAAGAAGGAGACTCAGAAGCCTCCTGTGCTGTCCCTAAGCCCAGCCTTTTGGAACTGGGCCCAGCAGGCCGGGGAGAAGCCCCGTCTCTCCTCGTTATGCTCATCACCTGATTCCTTTCCAGTGAGAAGCAGCCTCTCATAGGGAGGCACAGGGCTTGGGGTTAAAGACTCGTGCCCCAAGGGCCTTGTGCCTTCCCTCTCTGCCTTTCCCACTGAGAGCAGACACTGGAAGGAATCTCCACACTGGCCCCTCCTATAACAGGTTGAGCCTGGACAACTTTCTGACGTCCCCCTGTGTTGGAAGCTTCCAGTTTCTAGTTGCTGCCTTCAGGGACTCTGATGTCTATTTTTTCTCCCATTCTCTCTGTCTGCCTGTGTTTTTCCATCTCCACTCTCCACCCACTAACAGAGGGACCTCTACCAATAACCAGGGAGGCCTTTTCCCCTCTGGGAGGAAGACTTTGAAAGACAGTTGCCATCTTGGAGAGAGAATACTGATGTGGGCATCAGGCAGCCCCTCTATTCTCAACTATTTGCTTCTACCCTCTTGGCTTGTTTCTCTATAAAATGAAGGTGATTTTGTCCGTATTAAAACATGAATAAAAACAAATGTTGGCCAGGCATGGGAGCTCACACATATAATCCCAGCATTTTGGGAGGCTGAGGTAGAAGGATCACTTGAGGCCTGGAGGTCACAACCAGCCTGGGCAATGTAGTGAGACTTAATCTCTACAAAAAAATCACAAGAAAATTAGCTGGGCTAGATAGTACACACCTGTGGTCCCAGCTACTCAAGAGGCTGAGAGGGGAGGATCACTTGAGCCCAGGGGGTTGAGACCAGCCTGGGCAACGTAACATAGCAAGACTCTGTCTCTACAAAAAAAAGAAAAAAAAATGTTTCATTAGCCAGGAAGGGTGGCACGCGTCTGTGGTTCCAGCAGCTACTTCAGAGGCTGAGGTCGGAGAATCACTTGAGCCCACCTGGCAGTCAAGGCTGCAGTGACCCATGATCATGCCCCTGTACTTCAGCCTGGAAGACAGAGCGAGACCCTGACTCAAAAAGATAAATAAATATAATGTCAGAAAGTGAGCAACGTCCCCAATTCAAATGCTAACTGGGTTAAAAAAAAAAAAAAAAAATAGAAGAGAGACAAGGTCTCGCCGTGCTGCTGAGGCTGGTCTCACACTCCTGAGCTCAACTGGTACCTCCCACCTCGGCCTCCCAAAGTGCTGGGATTACCACAGCACCTAGACATAAGTGTGTTTGTTTTTTGTTTTTTAATTCTGGAAAACCAGAGACTTGCTGTTTGTTAGAGAAGCCTTTTTGTTCACCAAGTTAAGAGGACCTTAGCACTTCATTTTGGGAGGAGTGTTTTTATTCCTTCTGTCTTGGATTCAAGAACATCTGGGTGTTCGTTCATTCTTACCTCTTCTTACAGGCGGGGAGAATTTAAAAGAGCCTGAAAGAATATGTATGTGCCTCTTGACATTTCAGCAGATGCTTCAGCAGAAACGAGATTGGCTCTTTCAAAAGTTTCACTTAATAGTTTGTGCCTGAGCTGAGGGATCCTCTTGACCCTGTAAAGGAGGCAATTATGTGAGTTTGAGGGCTACACTTGTCAAATGGCTGTAGTTGCCCAAAGAATTTTGGATCCGATCTCTCACCTTTGATGGGAATGAAATAACAAAGCCTCACCCACCTGGGGCCTGTTGCCTTTTGCTGAGCGAAGTCCTGTCAGCCATTTAGTACCGGCAGAGGCTTCACCCCAGCTGGAAACCCGATAATGAGTGAGGCCTAAAAATCTGAGCTTCCCAGAGTGCGTGGGAAACCGAATATTAGAAGCCACAGCATTCCCCGACTCCGAGACTTGGATGGAGCTTGTGCATTCCCTTGGTTACAGCCATTTGGGTCTCCAAAAGGCAGAGAGGTTTAGCCAGAGCCTCCTCTCAGCAGTTGCTGGGGGGCCCAATCCCTTGTCACCTTGAAGTTCTGTTTCATCCTTCACCTTCACAGCAGCACCACAGCAGTGAAAACAATGAAAGTCAGCCACACCCGTGGAAATTCATGTCAGGGAAAGAAGGCAGGCAAAGGATCAAAGCCTCTTGTACCCAAGAATTCCTCAGCAGCTCCAGTCCCTTAATAATTATGGTTTGGAGATTTGCCAGAAAGCAAAACCACTTAGCATGCCGTATTTAACAATGAACAGTTTTCTGTGTTCATAATAGTCACTGTGCAGAGCAAATAGGCACCTTGAACAAAGGGTAGGATATTTATATGTGTATATAAAATAACCCGCACCTACCTTAAACCTAAATATGTTTTCAGAGAAGAATGTGGCACATCCCTCTGCACTGGTACCTGCTTTATGAGTAAGTTGAAGAAAAGCTACATACTCTGCCCCTATCCCCACCTCTCGAGGTTTTTAAAATGGAAATCTTTGTTTAACCCAGAATTTCCCAAACTTACTAAATAGTTATACTCTTTTGTTTCCAGCTGGGTCAAGCGTCTTTTTTGGTTTTGAAGTTTGGAGTGTTTTGTTTTGTTTTAAATATCTACTAATGTTCTAAAAAGCCAGTGTCCCCAGGAAAACTTTTTGGGAAGTGATGGCCAAAGAGCGCAGGAAACAAGGATGTAGACCAGTGGGAGGGCCAAGAAAACACGTCCCGGGTCCTGAGATGAACGAGTTTGTTGCAGGCCCAGGTCTCTCCATAAGGTTTGAGGAACCTTGGATCCAGGTTCTCCGTGTCAGTTCATGCTCAGTTAGAGTTTATCCAACAAACATTTGTCATTGGGGGAAATTAGAGAAGAATGGCTGCTTGGAGGAGAGTTCGTTAGAGCCAAACCTTAAAGGATGGGCAGAATTTCAGGAGGAAAAGATGGGAAAGATGGAGAACATTCCAGAAAGACAGGGGTGGCAAAGTGCGAGGCCTGTTCAGGAAAGGAATGTTAGTTTGGTACAGGCCTCAAGCGCATGAGTAGAGTGGGCTGAGATGAAACAGGATGACACAAAGGACCTTTGAATCAAATAGTATTCTTTCAGATGCAAGTGACAGAATGTCCACTTACCACTTCAGCATAGGGAGGCATATTGGATCACGGAACTGAGAATTCCAAGACTAAGACTGGCTTCATACATGGCATAATTCAAGGACTCAAACAGTGTCCCAAGGACCTGGTTTCTTGCATTTCTCCCTTCTGCTCCTAGGTTGATTCTGTTTTCGATCAGCTCACACTTTTCTTGGAGTTTAAGATGGCTACGGCAGCTCTAGCCTTTATATGTTCGTTTACTCAAGTCCTGTGTCAGTATCATCCATTGCATTTTATTGGCTCTAGATGGGGTCAGGCCTATACCTGAACTAATCTCAGAGGCCAGATGCCAATGAGGGCATCGTACTCCCAGCCTCTGAGGTTAGTTCAGGGATAGGCCTGGAACCTATCTGGGGCAGGTACCAGGCCTGGAGTTGAGGGTAGGATTAGCCCCTCTCAAACCACATGGACTAAAAGGTGTGGGGGAGGCTGGCTCTCTTGGGGGAAGACTGGGGACAGCTATCCAAAGGAGGGTGAGTAGAAGCTAGGCAGCAAAAACAACAGATGTTTGCTAAAACCTGGAATGCCAGGCCAAAGAATCTGGATATCATTTACATTAGAGAACCAGTAAAGATTTTTTAACAAATAAGCGACGTGATCAGAGATATACGTTAACATTAATTCAGCCACAGTTTAATAGCTGCTATGTGCTTGGCACATGGTAGGTACTTAATATAATTACATATTGAATGAGTGAATGCAAAAAGAGAGATAGTTGCGTAGCTTGAGAGGGGGAGAAAAATTAAAGGTGGGCAGCATTTTTAGGTCATTGTAGTAGTTCAGTAGGGCAGCTAGCAAAGGGAATAACGAAGTCACATGAAGAAAACTAAGAGGTTCCATTGTCATGAAACCCACATAAGGAAAAACTACCAAGAGGGCAGGCTTGGTCACCCATGCCAAACACTGCCAAAGGTCAGGTTAAGGATGATGAGGGTTGAGAAATGTCATGAGTGAGAGCCGAGAAAGAAGGTTCAATAGTGGCAGATTAGAGCCACCTTTAAGGAGTTTAGAAGTAAGTAGCAGGAGACTGGGCACAGGCAGATCACTTGAGGTTGGGAGTTTGAGACCAGCCTGACCAATATGGAGAAACACTATCTCTACTAAAAAATACAAAATTAGCTGGGCATGGTGGCCCATGCCTGTAATCCCAGCTACTCAGGAGGCTGAGGCAGGAGAATCGCTTGAACCCGGGAGGCAGGGTTGCGGTGAGCTGAGATCATGCCATTGTATGCCAGCCAGCCTGGGCAGCAAAACTCTGTCTCAAAAAAATTAAGTAAGGAGGTAGGCAAAGGGGCCAAGTGTTGACCACTCTATTACATCATCTATCTTCTTATCCTCCACAATTGAAACTCAGCAAAAAAACGTGCTCCTTCCCCTGCACACATCCTTCACGCAGCACCTTAGGCCTCCTCCATGACCTCTATCCAGAGAATTCCCTTTCCTCCCAGGCATCTTCTGGCTCTCCTCTCCCTCCAGCAGCTCCTTCTCATAAAAATATTTACATCACTCTCCTGCCCTAAAACCACATCTCTTAGACCCTGATCTGTCTTCAAGCCAATGTTTCAAAAGAGTCATTAGAGAAATTTTGACTTTGACGGGGACGGAAGTTTGAGCTTATGTTGAATGTCCTTACAGAAGTCAAGATGATCTGTAAGCATGCGTGGTTAGGGAGTAAAATGTAGGGGCAGGGAAAAAATTGGAACAGTTTATATAGAGGTTTGGTTAGGAATCACCAGAATAGGAAGGAAAGAATTACCAGAGGACGCAGAGAGTTCAGCTGAGATTAAACAATATGAATTTATAGAGCATCAGCAGCAGACCGCCACTGCTCAGCTGGGATTGGTGGCTCAAAGTAGGACAGTAGATTGGATTTGGGGAGAGGTGGCTAGGGAGCATTGTTGAGCTTGGTGGCAGATCAGATTGGCAAGGGTATTGAGGACTAGGAGAATCCTCACAGGCCCAAGGAGTCCTGGATAATGTAGAATAATAGCCTGGGAGAAAGGTCAAGGTCAAGGATGTGGTCAGGATTGGGGAACGTGGGTAGTTTCTGTGGAAGAGGTAGAAGGTTAAACCGGTGTGTTAGGAATATTTTTTTTTTTTTTTTTTTTTTTTCTTGAGACAGAGTTTCGCTTTCGTTACCCAGGCTGGAGTGCAATGGCGCGATCTCGGCTCACCGCAACCTCCGCCTCCTGGGTTCAGGCAATTCTCCTGCCTCAGCCTCCTGAGTAGCTGGGATTACAGGCACGTGCCACCATGCCCAGCTAATGTTTTGTAGTTTTAGTAGAGACGGGGTTTCACCATGTTGACCAGGATGGTCTCGATCTCTTGACCTCGTGATCCACCCGCCTCGGCCTCCCAAAGTGCTGGGATTACAGGCTTGAGCCACCGCTCCCGGCTGTGTTAGGAATATTAAAGAGGTCATATGATATGGGAGCCATTGTGTGTAGACTGTATGGCTTAAACCCCAAATCCTAAACTGCATCTCTCTGTTATACCCCATTATAAAATGGGGATCAGAAAACCTACTATAAAAGGTCATTATAATTAACATATATGAAGTACATATGATAGTGCCTTACACATAATTACCACTAAACATTCACAATGATACTGAGGATGTTCATTTCAAAGTGATGATAAAACTTAGAATTGAGATCTTGAGTTGAAACCATTCTAAATAATGACAAGTTCTCAGATGTCATCGTGGTTAATTGAGAACAGAGTAAAACCAGAGATGAGGAGTATTTGAATTGAAGAGGCTGAAGAATGGTGAAAGCAGTTACTTGGAGGGACATCTTTATGGATGTGGAAGTCACAGATAGGGTGGCCATGATGCAGTCATTGAAGAACAAGAATGGGGAGGTGGTTAGTATGGACTTCAAAAGAGAGATTGTGGGGCAGGCAGGGAGGTTGTCTAGGAGTGGCAGAAGGAGTGTGCTGTTCCATGCAAGTCAGACACTGAGGGACAGAAGGAACAGCCCCAACTGGGAAGTTAGGAGAATGGTAGCTTCTGCGAGGAGGAGGAAGAAACACGGAAAGGATGACACCTATGGAGAATCTGCTCACAATACGACAGATTTGGATTGAGGGGAACTATTTTTTCATAAGAGCTTTTGAGCAAAACTATCCCCTGATTATGGGGACACGTCTGAAAAAAGTCATGAGGATAGGGGAGGAGGTAGAAAGGAGTTTTTGGAGTAGATTTCTGAGAAAGCCAACAGAGGGAGGCCCTGTTTCCTCACCTTGATTGTGAGGTATGTGACATGTGGCAAGCTGGCTCAGGCCTGTGGGCTGGTGCTGGGCATGCCCCAGGTGGACACAGCTCCCTGCCACATCTCCCACTCAGGAGCACAGTCCTGCGGTACCTTGGATTGCTGTATTTCCCAGACCGTGTTCCGCACGCCAACAGAGAGAGGAACCAGACCACGAGAGGTGGGATTGGGGGTTTCTGCTTTTCGAGAGCAGAGAGCAACAAATGGATTTAAAGGAG